TGTCGTTTTCTTCCCGTGATTCCTGTGTTTTTCTTTATTAAAGTCTTCTTCAGTTTCTCTCAAATTCAATTCAAGTCCAGTTATCATTTATTATAAGTCCCCTGTGATGTATAATAAATGGTATTAATATAGTGAAAAAAATTGCCTGTGTACCCCAAGATTCCTGGAAATTTAAAACCTATTGCTATCGTTTCCACATCCACACAAATAAGAATTCATGGGCATCATTTGTCCTTGTTGACATATTTGGGATGCCCTATATTTATGCCCGTGGCACTGTACGTCCCAGACAAGGACTCCAGTTCCCTCTCAGTACACCCTGTCCTCTGTCAGTGCACTGTAACATCTTCCTTTTAATAAGATGGAGAGAAAAAAGGTTTGATTGGCCATAACTGACATCAGCCCACACACCACCTACTTTATTAGGAGATTCAATCTGCCTTGATAGCCAAACAGCAGGAGCACAAACAGTCCAGGTAAAATAATTTGTACACAGGTGTACCTGTGTCAGACACCCCCAGACATGTGTTTGTGCTTTGATTCGTAAACACAAACGAGCAGCAATGCTGTCTCACGTGGCTCGCTTGGTGGCTGGAAAGAACCTCCATTGCTGTGTGTGGAGAGGTACAGATTGGATCCTCGCAGCAGCCAGTGTGTGTTTTCATTCCTGGTGTCCTTGAATAAAGTCCTAAATCCAGTTCATTACCAGTATGTTGTTGAGGATGAAAACGCAGATTCCATAGGTTATTTTAAACTTCACACGCAAAAGCCAGTTTTTAGATTTAGGATAAAAAGCCAATGTTAGAAAAAATCACAGTAAGCCACCGTCACAGGATCAGAGGAGGACAAGCTTCATGTGTGCTCTCTTCCGAACCTGCGAGCTGGCCTCATGCCTGGCACGGCCGGTGCCTAAACTGCTCATTTAGAGCTCATTTCAGAGCTGGGATCCCTCCTTCCTGCTTTCAGCTCCTGCTCTGTGCTTTTATGTCTCTCCCTCTGCCTATCAGTTTCTCTTTTATCTGGATTCTATCTCTTTCTGTTTTATCTCCATCTCTCTTTGTCTCTGCAGCTTACCCTTTATTATGCTTCCTTATCTAACCATGTCATCTGACACTTCTCCTCTGTTTTCAGCCTCAGTGTGTTTTCATCCATGTTCTCTTTCTACCTCTCTGGTTTTTCCTCTCTCCATCCCTCTCTCCTGGTCTGTCAGCCTCCCCCCTCCTCTCTCTCTCTCTCTCTGTTCTGATTTCTGTTCTCTCCAACTTGCTCCTCTACGCTCTGTGACATTGCCAGAGCGCACACACATTCACATTCACACTCGCACACAGTTGCACGCAGACACTCCCTGGCTGAGATTAGCTGGCCTATTTGAGCTGTGCAGCATTGCTCTTAGGGATTGTGTACGATTGTGCATGCGACATGTATGGTGTATGTTTGTGTGTGCGCACATGCTCATCGGAATGTGTGCGTGTCTGCATGTGTGACAGAGAGCGCCACTAGAAGTGTGAAATAGAGGATTTGAGGCAGCTGTATTTGTCATGGGGCTGTGGATTTAAAGCTGAAATCCATAACTTTCCGCACGTTCAAACTACAGCAGAGATGACGGAGTATCTAGTGTCGTATTTGTGAAGTTATTTCACCTCTTTGTTATTGGTGTGCAGGAAAAAAAATGTTATCAATCAACCAGGCAGAGCAATCTAAAGTTCTCATACTGAGGAGACACCACCAGCCAGGATGGGTGCGCTGAAGGAAACTGAACACACACATATACACACACAATATTTTAAACAATGGTACTCATGCATTTTGGGTTTTCGACTGTGAGATCAGGAGTCGGAGGATTATAATGCGCAGTGCATGAGACTGTAGGTATTTACACATTTGAATTTTTGAGATTTTCTGTCAATTTGCACGAATCATACTCATCAAGACTCTCTGTCTCACACATACACTTTGGTCGCCTGCTGTGGCAGTGGACTGATACCATGATACCTGTGTGGCACTTTTGAGAGGCGAACTTGTTCTGATGCCACAGAGAGATGAGACCTTTATTTTTACTGCACACTATGTCATACATGAGCCGCTGACAACAGATCTTTAGATTTTTTCTGCCGTGTGACTGAGGCTGCTCCTGTCTCCTCCCTCAGGTGATGTCATCGTCTACATTAATGACATTTGCGTGCTCGGCACGACGCACGCCGATGTGGTCAAACTTTTCCAGTCTGTACCGATCGGTCAGAGCGTGACCCTCGTGCTCTGTCGAGGGTATCCCCTGCCCTTCGACCCCGAGGACCCGAGCGGTGCGGCCAGCGCTTCCCTGACGCCCATTGGACTGGAGCACCGCCCGCTGGTGGTGAATGGCCGCGGCAGCTATGACCCGTACCTGGAGTATCTGTCGCTGAGCTCCCAGCTTCCTGGTCAGGCTCTGGCCCAGGCCGGAGCTTCCCATCCCGGAGACACACATCTGGACGGCTCATCCCTGCCGCCCACCACGCCCGGCTCGGCATCGGCGCTCACACCTCACAATGACAACGTGTCAATGGCCTCTTCTGGGACTGGGGCTGTTGCCGGGGCAACAGCACAAGGGGCAGAGCTGCTAACAGTTACCATGGTGAAAGGAGCAGAAGGATTTGGGTTCACCATCGCCGACAGTCCTACCGGTCAGCGAGTTAAACAGGTGAAGTGTCCCAACGCCGCCTCCTCCATCAGTGACCGACTTCAGACCTGTTTAATATTTTAATTGTAATTTTTATTCAGCGTTTCAGGAATTAAATGTGTTCTTTCAAGTGCAAACTCTCCGCAGTCGGCTAAAATAGTCAAGCTGACTTACAAATTAAACTTGAAGTAGAGTTACGACAGCAGGTCAGAGAAAATTTAATTTGGTCAACGCAACGTGGTAGAAAGAGATCGAGATAAGAAGAACAAAGTGAGCTCACCCTGTGTTGGGTTTGCTATCTACTAATGTGGTACGAATCGAGTCTCCAGAAGGTGTGGAGCAAAAAGGGGGAAAAAAATTCCCACCCTGCATACTTAAATACCTGGAAAGAAGGAACAGATATAAATTAGAGTTGCTGATTGGGAATGTGACCAGATGCTAATCCTCATCCCAGTTGTAGGTGTACAATAAAACATCTGCACCACAATATACATCTGTCTCCACCAACATGACAGCATCTGTGCTTTTCCCCTTTTGTTTTAAGAATTTCTTTGTCTTCTTGAATCGAAGTAGCTCAGATGGCTGTTCCTATAAATCTTTAAACAGTACAACATGTGCGGTGAAGATTTTAGAATTTAGGTCCCACTGTGGGCAATTGCAGCTTTCCACTGTAACCCATTTTTATTGATTTTGGTTTACAAAAGCAGTTTTATGTTTGAGATTGGAAGGTACCATGAAGCCAAGTGTAGTAACAGTGGATGATGATGTGGTGCAGGTGCTAGAGCCGGGCTCACAGGGAGCATCGGGGCTGGTAGAAGGAGACCTGATCCTGGAGGTAAACCAGCAGTCAGTGGCTGCAGCTGGACATGGACGAGTGGTGGAGATGCTCAAAGAGTGTCCTGTGGGAGCAGAAGCAACACTCCTCATACAGAGAGGAGGAACAGGTGAGAGAGACAACATTTACCTTGTTTCTTTTGACTGTTTCCCACTACAAACACACTCTTTCTGCAAAAACAAATCTAAATAAATATATAGAACAGAACAGTAAGTGAAAGTTAAACTCAGTTTGATTCATATAGTGCCAAATAATGATAGTAATTTCAAATGTTTTATTAGAAAATAATGTGAATATTGTTCAGAGTAAAATTAAAGTCCCTCTTAGACTTTGCACAAAGGTTTTATTCTCAATTCAGGAAAGAAGTTGTAATGTCAGTGTAATGTAGGATAAGCTACTATCAGGTAAATATTGGGAAAAGGTATTAAAGAAACCTTTTTGTTGTTGGGATGAAATAATGAACAACTCTGACATAATAATGAATATGTCAAATTCAGTTATGTCTTTCAAAAGAGACAATATACCAAACTATTTGGGTACATGGGTTCAGGTGTAAATAACTTTTACACTTTTTTTGTTCTTGTTTATTTTTCCTTTTTCCTCCATTTTGGATACTAGGAAAGCTGTAATGAGTAGTGTATGCCAGGCAGATTTCTCTGCCCAGTCTTAATAAAAAATAAACTTACTGAACTAACAAATCACTTAATATAATATTTGAGTATAATATAGTAAATTTTATAAAGATAACCCTTTTAACAGCCAGCACCAGGGTCAGGGAGGTGCAGCCATCTGCCACAACGGCTTGGATTTAAGGGAAAAAGAGGCAGCATACGGAGAGAACAACACAATAAAACATGAATTGCAGGGGAGAGAAGACACAACGTTAATGAAATGCAATAGTGCCATATAAATGCATAAGAGGCCACCCTGCTGCATTTAGCTAACAGATCCTCGCCGAACTATAAGCTGTAAATGAATGGGGAGTGGAAAAGAAGGGCGTGGACGATCCTCTTCTTCTTCATGGGAGCTCCTCAAGCAGCCTGAGACTTGCACAACTGCTATGAGATTTATCAAAAGGATTTTTTAAAACTCTAATCTAAAATCTAGAGAAAGTGTCTGTCTCTTGAATTTACTCTGGACCGAATCAGTTGATGAGTTTGTAAACTGGTAGTATTTTCCCTGTGATTTGCTCTCTTTTCACACAGAAGAAAATCCAGATGAACTTAAAGCGAGCCAAAATGCATCATTACAAATCACGTGAGAATGTTCAGTCCGCTCATTGGCCGGATGTGTCTGGGGGCAGAAGCAACAAAATAAATATATAAATAATATAGGAAGAAGGTGCTCTGTTTTGGACTATAGGAGAACATGGAGAATTTATGTTGATTTCCCAGCTGGTTGCTTGCCCATACAGACCTTTGCACATCTATTGAACATTCCCGCATTGAGAATACAAAGCATAAGTGGCTACAGAAAGTTTTTTAGCTCAAACAATGTACCCCAGGTAGTTGGTTCTGATCACATTAGCACCATAAACAAACTGCACTGGAGTTCACCATCTCCTCCAAAGAGCCTCAGTGTGGCCGTTTATTATTATTATGTTCACACCTGAACAAACGAAGGGAAAAAATGAATGAGAGTTCAGTTTAAACGGAACAAACACTGCAGATGTGAAAGCACCCTTAAACTGGGAATTTTGCCACAGGAAATGTTCTACCTCTGATCCTGCTTTTGGAAACTTTGGGAACCACCTATCCATCAATTTTCTTAACCACCCGTCCATTTTAGGATTGCCAACGGCTGGCACCTGTTCCATCTGAACCCGAACCAGAGCTGGATTACAACCGAGTTAGGTCGCCAGTCCGTCATAAGGTGCAAACACAGAAGTTTGCACCTTATGACGTATGGGTAGTTTTGACTCACATGCTTGTCTTTGGACTGTAGTAATAAAAACAGGAAGACTGAGCCAAGACCATCGTTGTGTGAGGCAGCAGAGCTAACCACTGCACCACTGTGATTACTGTTTTTAACCAGAATGATCAAATTGGTTATAGTGAAAGTCCAGCAAGTTTCTCCTCTTTTAATGCCCTCTTTGATCTGTTTAAGTTTGCAGTGGTGACAAAAACAATTTCACTCCAATTAATGCAGAATCACATGTGATATTTTGTTACCGTTCATAACTTTATTAACTTAATTAAAGAAGAGTCCAGTGCAAGAGCAGCTTCCCGCTAAATATAAGCTGGTTTCTGGCTTTGACGTGCACAAACATCGTTTTGCTTTGCATCGTCACCTCCAGCTGCAGCTTTGCAATAGAGAAGTCAAGTAGAGTTGACAGTGAGCACTGAAAGAGCTAAAGAGATTTTGATTATGATAATTTCAAGACCTGTTCTATTTTTAAACACGTTCAAGTAACACGGCCTATTTATTCGGATTTTATTCAGGTTTTAAGATAAGATTTTATTTTTGGAATAATAAATACTTTAGAAGCTGGAAGAATAATTTTGTCTGGTGCAAATTATCTGTTGGCAAGGGGGGAAAAAATGTCATAAAAAGTGAAACAATTCAAATGTATTTCACATTGTGTCGGTTAAGAAAATGAAACTTTAATATCCACCGTGGGGAAATTTGATCAATGCAGGTACAAATGGCTGCAGGACAGATTATTAGAAATGATATAACCTAAGGATGCAATGAACAATATGTTGTTTAGTGTATTTCATATGCAGTGACTCATCCAGTGAATACACATCAATATTACAGATCAGGAAAAAAGTGTCAGCAGATGCCACACTAAGTGTTTTGTGCATCGCACCATGTGTTCTCAGCGATTTCCAAGTGCAGCTTTATCACCAACATGTCATCGATGTTTTCCAGTGAAACAGAACAGAGAGGCATGAGGGGGATTTGACATGGAGGGAATTTTAAGATACAGCACATCAAATGTAAAATGAAGTGGGGACTTGGGATGAGAGGTGGCGTTAAACTCACCGTCAGGTGTAGCGCGACTCTCTGGGCACAGATGGCACCGGCACTGTTGTGGGGAAAGCAGTTTCATTCCCACTGAGGCCACTCATCTTCAGAACAAATGCAGTTATTTTACTGCAATGTGCTTTGGACAGAAATTACTGGAGAGTGTCATCGAGCTGGCAAACAGGATGAACTGGATGGTGTGATGCTGTTTGGCTGAATATACTGACTCTGCTCGCACGGGCTGCAAAACCACATTTTTACCGTTTTGCTGAATACAAATCTAGTTTTATGTTATGTTAGGTGAAGGAAAGTGGGGACAGGAAGAGAATATATGGGGTCTTATTACTGGCTGTGATCTGTTTTCCTGTCTATTGCAAAACTTCCATTGCTTTCTCACAATGGCACAGGCTTTTATCCTATTAAACAAGCGTTTAAAACTGACTTATTTGACTGTTGGCTTTTTGTATTTTGACAAATTTCGGGGCTAGTGAGGTTCCACAATACCTGCAATGAGCTGCTGTTTTCCACGTATAATGCTCCTGCACATGTTCAGTGAAGGGAGAAGACAATCGCACACCCTTGGTGTGAGAAAATAAATCAAAATGGAGTTATAAAGGAGGCGAGAAAGGGGGCTGAGGAGAATTTCATGGTGTTGAAGCTTGAAGTGTAGATTCTTGCAGTTCTGCCAGGACCGCATGGAGTGTGGCTATTTTCCCACTTTTTGTAGTTCCTGTATGTTTAGCCACCTGCAAGGAAATAAAATTGCACAGTGGAAGCTGCATTTGTTGACACGTACTCTTGCTCTGATTCTCTCGGAGGTGTTCAGGTCACAGGTCAGCATTTGACTTGATAATTCCCCCCGGCTGCCTATACCATTTGACTGAAACACACACACTAAACTACAC